CTTGAGTCCTCCTGGTGTGGCACTGTAGGATAAGCACTTGACTGCTAACCAAAAGGTCGACAGTTCAAAACCACCAGCCATTACTTGGACACCCTATACAGGGTCATCATGAGTTGGAACCAACTGGACAACACTTAACAATAATTGGACAACACTTAACAACAACAACAGCACTTTGTCAAGAACTTTTTGACTCTGTTTCCTTGTTTAGTAAAATGACTTGGTCCCCCCGTTAATAAAAATCTTTCTGTTTTTACTTTAAACAGACTTTTATTTACCTAGCCACAAAAATTTTGGTGCTAGATGTGGGATTGCCAGGTGACTTCCTCTGGCAGCCCCGAAGTGTTGAAAACTGAAGCTCAAGATTCAGCTGAGCCAACCGGGCTCCCCTTTATCCTGTGAACCTTTGGGAGCTGCCTAGGGTGAGTATGAATTTTCAAAATTCCACCTCACTGTGTCTGAGACTCAGCCACACTTCATTTCTGGCCTATTTTCAATATTATTGTCTTACTTGGATCCTTAATTCCATCTGGATTTGTTTTCCTTTTTCTTACAATTTTGAATTTTACTAGAGGTAATTCTATCTTTTGAGTCTTGAGGAAGACACAGAAGGTAATTCTGCTTTATACAAAAAGTCATGTTCTGTGTATTTTGAGCTTATTTTGAGTTCTGAGTGCCAACTACTGGCATGCCATTAAAGAAAACTGTCCTTAAGGTTTTCCACTTGTGGGTTCAGGTTAAAATTTTCTGTTTGTAGGTTCAAGTTAAAAATCCGTTCTGGATTTTGGCCCAGAGGTAATCAATAGAAGTCGTGTTCCAATCTGGTCCAAGTGCAAATTTCATTTAACAAGGGCATGGGTAATAACAAAAATAAAAATGAAGACTACTGGTCAGTTATTCTGCCACAATTCATAAGCAACCAATGTGGTTCTACTACATGTGCCTTTTGAACCAATGGCACAGTCTAACAAAAGGAAGTTTACAAAAGAAGCGGCCTCTTTATGGATCTTGTGTCATCTCCAAAGCAACCTTTCAGCACAATAAATTAGAACAAAAAGGACCGAAAATTAATCAGACCCAATAAAACTCCTATTTTAATTGATACTTTGAAGCTTCTAAAATAAATCAATAAAGTAAAGTTGCCAGTCTGTAGGACACTGTTTCAAAACTAAGAAAAGTACTCAAAACTTCTGTGTCCACTTCTAATACTCTGGTGCCATCTACTGCTCCCTCTGCTCCTCTGACACACTTGTAAGTTTTCTTTCTCAATTGACAGTTCAATCTCTCTACCCTACTCTTCCTTCATATACTGTCTCTTTAACTGAAATCCCTTTCTCTCTGGGCAGGGAATGTACTATCTGTAAATCTGTACATGAAATGCCTTTCAAATTTAAACCATTAGAGGAAACAAATAAAGTACTACAAGCTGTACTTGAAATGTTGCTTTTTTTTTTTTAAGTTAAACTAACAGAGGAAGAAGCATTGTTACTTCTCAGGTAACATTTTCTGACTGGTCCAAAACAGAACTTTATGTGATTTTTAAATAATTCCGTAAGCCATACAAAGACCTGCAAAAGTTTACTGAAGATTTAAACATTTTAATTAACACAACTCAGGACTCCCTGATTTATATCAACTTAGGCTTTCTACTCCCGTAAGGATTTACACCCTCGGAAACCCTGTACAGGGTCGCTATGGGTCGGAACCGACTCGACGGCACTTAACAACAAACAACAACAAATAGCTAGTAGAATGAGGAAAGGGTGGTTTATGTATGGAAAAAGTGGACTGAAAATTCCTAAAGAGTCTTTAACCATGAAGGCTAACATCTCAGGAGCTAAAATCCTTAATAAGTCCCAAAAGAAAACTAAGGGTATGAAAAAGATCATTCCTTACAAAATAAATGACTTTGAAATTCAGAATTGCAAACAAAATAAAGATGATATGGTTTATAATTAGTGGGACAGATTGGTTAGATATTTTGCACAACATTCC